CTTTCACATGTTTGATTTTGCGGAGGACTGGCTGTTAAATCTCGATGGTAGGGGAGTATGTACAAAAGCTGGAGACTAGTGTAGCACAGGTTAGGGGAATGGTGCTAAGAGATGAGGTACTCACTTGAAATTGCTGTTTTTGTGGCACCAGTTCAGCCATTGGTTTGGTTACGTTCATAAGTACCAGAATCAAAGGCAGCTGAATAACCACATTTAGGTGACATTCGTAGGAAGATTACCCAAGAAATGTAGCACTCCGACTTTCTCGACACGTCAGTGCCGCGGTGATTGGCTCAGTGGTGTTGTGATTAGCATCACCGACAAGCTCGTTTGATCCCATCCACTCACAGCAGCAGCAGCAGCAGCAGCAGCACCTCACTGTCTCAGTGTGCTGGGGGGGGAATGCATGATCGGTGCAGCTCCAGCGCGCGTCGTGCTGCAGCAGGCGCAAAGCAAAAAACTTGTCCTGCCACTCACCTGCTCCCCATCCTTCCAGAAATTGTCCCAGTCGACTCGCGCCAGCCATCACCTTCACCTCTTCCCCCTTTCCTCTCATGTAGCTTCTTGATAAGTTTGGGGTACGGTGGATCAAACTTACCCTTCTTGTAAACACTTCCGTTGACAATCTTCCGACTAAGTAGTTGGCGACTGCTAACTGTCCTTGCAGTGTTGTTTCTTTTATTGACCGCTAACTCTCGACGACCACAAGCAGCGGGTGTCGAGATTTCTGCTTTCACTGCCTAGTTCCACTATCGCCATTACTCCATCCCGAATTCGCCATTCGCTGCCACATTCCCTCTCGATCCGATGAGGATTCAATGGCGATTCTGTCTTGCGCTCCGTCAAGAGTCTCTAAAGCGCGTTCTGGTTCTCGCATGGGTCTCGTCGACGCTCTCAGTAGCCCTTGCAGCCACCGCTAGCTCAGGTCGTGCTCATGCAGCGAATATGGCCGACGCGCAGGTTACCACTGATTCTCCGCCAATTCGTTCTGACCTCGTCATGATCCTCGTTACCACAGCCTGCATAGTGCTCGCATCCATCGGTTCCATCTTATCGCTTATTTTCGTCGTCGCATCGCGATGGGCAGGCCTAGGTCAGGTCGACTTCAACCCTGCTGCGACGCCGTCGTCGTCGTCAGCGTCGCAGGGCGACGCCCTCAAGGCCTGTTCTTTCGCTCTGCGAGAGGGCGAGTCGCCCTACGCCATCTTCGCTCCCTCCAAGCCGTCTTCCACCCGCGCGCGAGTGCAGGCCGTCCTGGACGTCGCGCTTCCGGCGGCCGTCAAGGCCATCAATTGGGCCGCCAAGCAGTCGGAGACCTACGCGCCGTGGTTCCGGCCGTCGCACTGGCTCCTCCCCACGGACATGGAGTCGATGCTCCGGATCGCGTCGTGGGGCACGGGACTTAAGGACTTCGGCGACACGGGCTTCCTCACGGGCCTCGCGCTCTGCGTGCGCGACACGGAGACGCACGCGAATCTCACGCCGTTTGGCCGGATCGCCATCTGGCTCGACGTGCAGCGCATGCTGCAAGGCCGCCTGCGCCTAGTCGACTGCCGCAAGCGGTTCCCGGAGATCGAGGAGGAGCAGATCCGCGCGCCGATGGTGATCTTGGGAATGCCGCGCACCGGCACGACGCTGCTGTATAACCTCCTGTCGCTGGACTACGAGCGGTTCCGCGCGCCGCGCTCGTGGGAGTGCCGCTACGTGTATCCGCCGCCGCAGGCGGAAACCTTCCGCACGGACCCTCGGATCGCGCTAATGGACGACTCGCTACGCGCAGTGCACGCCGTCATCCCCGACCTGCACACCATCCACCCGATGTACCCGGAGGGCCCGCAAGAGACGTTCGAGCTGATGTGCTACGACATGACGTCGTTCGTGATCCCGTTCACGCACATTACGGCGCCGTCGTACCTCGAGTGGTTCATGCGCTCGGACATCACCCCGACCTACGAGTTCCTCAAGTGGCAGTTGAAGTACCTGCAGTGGCGCGGGCCCAAGGCGCCGCAGTGGTTGCTGAAGTCGCCCGAGCACATCTTCTCGCTGCGGTCTATGCTCAAGGTTTTCCCCGACGCGCGGATCATCTGCACGCACCGCGACCCGGTGAAGGTGATTTCGTCCGCGCACAGCCTGATGCGGTGTTTCCGCTCGCTGACGGCGGACCCCGTGGACAACCGCATGATCGCGCCGCTGTGGGCGCCGCATCTCGCGCGCGCGCTGGATGATATGATCGACCTACGCGAAGCGGCGGCGCTCGGCGCGAATAGTAGCGGGGACGAGGAAGGCGCTTTTAGCGGGGATGAGGAGAGCGCGGACGAGAGCGGGGATGACAGCAGCAGCAGCAGCAGCAGCACCAGCATCAGGGGAGGGGTAAGGAGCTTAAGCAGCAGCAGCGGGAGGAGCAGCAGGGGCAGTGTTTTTGCGGAGAGGGAAGGGGAGGGTATGGACGGTGTAGATGCGTTGCAGGAGTGGGATTCGTCGCTGGCCGTCGATGTGCGATTCCACGAGTTTGTGCGAAGCCCGATTGGCGAAATCAAGCGAATTTACGCGCACTTCGGCGACGAGCTTTCGCCAGTGGCGGAGGCGCGCATGCAGCGGTACCTGGACGAGGATCGGCTGGAGCGAAAGGCGCACCGCCACGTGTACAAGTGGGAGGACACGTGTCTGGATAAGGACGAGCAACGGAGACGGTTCGCTCGTTACGTGAAGTACTTCAACGTGGCACAGGAAGGCTGAGGGGGGCAGTTGAGTATGAGAGGAGGAACTTTTAGGGAACTCCTGATTGGGCTGGGAAGAGCATGGCTGAGGGGGCAGCTGGCTTTGAGCATTCTCTATGGCCCACGGAGGGGGCCGAGAGGATGAAATAAAGAGGCTGGAAATGAGCGGCGTGCCAGCCGCGTCTTACCGGCGCCCCCTAGAGACGCGCGAGAGCTGAGTGGAGGAGGTAGGGCAGATGGGGATGCGGTTAGTAGGAGCGGGAGCAGTATGAGCAGTAGTAGCGGGAGCAGTATGAGCAGTAGTAGCGAGAATAGTAGTAGGAGGAGGAGTAGGGGGCGTAGAAGGCAGAAGTGGCAAGGCCTCCGTGGAGGCTGGTGAGGCTGGTGAGGCTAGTGTGACTGATGGCTGATGGCTGATGCAGGAGAGGCTGTCAGTGTGTCTCTGCATTGGGGGGGTGCGGTGTAGGTTGACCACTAAGGCGTAGCACAGGATGGACTAACAACGTAGTTGATGGGAGATAGGCTCGTGGTGTCTCTGTATGGTTATCCTCAGTGCCTGGGGGTACACCTAGGAAGGTAACTGATACTGGTAGTTGATAGTGAGGTGACAAGACCGTATTTAGGTGCTAGGCCCTTGTTATTAATTATTCATTTATAGTCCGAAATTCATTCCGAGACAGGGCTGGGGTGGGGAGCACCTTGAGATTGTTGTTTGCTTCACAACCCATGATGATGACATGAGTCATGGAGGGGGGCTCCTGCTACCTAGTTCTGCTCTTATGGATGGTGGATCCCAGGGCATGTTCTTATATGAAGCAGGCTCAGGATCAAACTCTAGACCTATCGTGGTTGTCAGCACCCAGGGTAGACTGTCGTGCGGAGGGCATCACCCAGACGTTCACCTTGCCGGACTCCCCGCAGCTGCTTGTCGACGACTACACGCGCTATATAGTATGCTCTAGTGTTGAAGGGTGCATCTGTTAAATTATATATTTTATATATTTAATTGTAGGCTTGATAGGTGTTACTGGATCCTATTGTAGAGGGTGCAACAATCCCCCCTTGTATCCCTCTCTCATCTAATCTCAATCTCTTCTCTCTCGACAATCTCTTCTAGCACCTAAACCTCTCGCCTTTCATGGCTTCCCCCCTTGCTAGCTCATCTTAACAGCATCCTAACCTACATGCATGTAACGAAGACCAACTTTCAAACATCAATTGTTGAGGCTTCTTCTACCGCCACTTCAGTCAAGCCATACTGCAGAAGTGTAATGAAGCGCAAAGAGCGTGTGTCGAATGATTGATTAAGGAGGAAACAATACAACAGAGGCAACATCAAAATAGCAGGGAGAATGTATATAGGTAGCCTAGGAGCACACGGTCGTGGCTCGGCGGAGCTGCTCCCAAAATGGCGCGAAGCGCCCAGATCTGGGCATGCAACAGCAAGGCGGAAAACAATGTATGTGACTCGTCAGGAGACCACATTTGGGACCGCGATTTGAATTTCGTGGCAGAGCTGCGCGGCAACCCCGTTATAGCAGTGTGTTAGAATGTAAGAATCGTTACTAGTGTGGGAAACCTAGAACATATACCCGTTGGGGTTGTACTTGTTAGAAAGAGAGAATGAATGGACTAGTGTGAGAAACCTAGAACATGTACCTGTTGGGGTTGTACTCACTAGAAGCACACACCTAGAAAATTGGGCTGAGAAAAAGCCCTTAGGATCTTTTCAGAGACTAAGTCCCAGTTGTAGAATGAGACTTGAGTAGTGCAGCGGAAGTTGAGGTAGTTGAACCCTTGTACTAGTATATGAGAACAAGTGATTGATTAAAGAAACAAGCATACAGCAATATATAGAGGATAAGAAAGCAGTTGTAGAATACAGTTACAGGAACGGTTTATCGAGTCGCACAGCGACTCGATTGCCGCTTCGGTTACCATCCGTGATGTTGTAACGGTCAGTCGTAACCTCCAGTTGCGACCTTTCGAGTCTTTTCGCATTCTTTGTCCGCCCCCTCGTGCAACCTCCGTTGACTCGCGTGTTCCCCTGTAATCTTCCTCGAGTACAGTGTTTATACTTCAGAAACGCTTAAGTCCTTTGAGATATTTCCAACACTCCCCTTCGTTTCTGGAGTGCTGGCGTGTTCACATCCGGTGACGTTTGTTTGCCCGGTCAGGAGCATGCAGTAGTCGAATTTTGCTTTCGCCAATTTCTTCGTCAGATAATCTGCGGCCATTTCTGTCGTCGGGCAGTAACTGAGTTGAAGTCTCCCCTTCGCGATTTCATCCTTGACGAAGAAGTACCGCAGGGCGATGTGCTTGGTTCGGTTGGCGAAGCCGTCCTTGTTCGCGATTTTGATCGCAGATTGGTTGTCGCAGAGGAGTGAGAAGGCGGGCAGGGTCGCGATCTTCGCTTCCTCGAGTAACTCCCGCAGGTAGAGTCCTTGCTTGGTCGCGGTACAAAGGGCGATATACTCTGCTTCAGCCGAGGATAGTGCGATTAACTCCTGCTTGTTCGACTGCCAGGAGATAGTTCCGATGGGTTCTAGACGGTAGATGTAGCCCGTCCTAGATCGTCGATTTTCCCTATCTCCCGCGTGGTCGGCGTCGACGTATCCGAGTAGTCGTACGGACGGTGTTGTCACTTTGCTGTAGGTAAGCCCGATCGTCGGCGTGGAGACGAAGTAGAGTAGTGCCCGGTTGAGCTCCTCGAGATCTTCCTGTTCCGGTTGCTTCAGATGCGTCGCCAGTTGACTCGCACTATAGGACAGGTCGGGTCGGCAGGTTACTGCTGCGAATAGTAGGCAGCCGAGCTTCTGTTGATACTCCTGGATTTGCTTCGCGGGGAGTTTTGCGGAGGTGCTGTTGTTGTTCCCGTAGTGGTAGGGAGTTGGGACAGTAGTCGGTGTTAGACCAAATTTCTTCGCGACGGTGCCTGAGTACTTTCCAGCGTGTAGGTAGAACGCCGTGTCGTGTTCGTCGACATTCAGTCCTAGGTACTGGGTCACTTCGTCGGACACCGTGAGTCTTAAGTCTTCTTTCAGCTCCCGTTCGAACCAGGTGGCGATGTCGGTAGTGGAGCCGATGTAGAGCAGGTCGTCGACGTAGACGATGAGTAGGATATACTCTCTTCCCTTCTGCAGTCGGTACATTCCTTGGTCATGCGGCAGCTGTAGGAATCCGATTTTTGCGAGACGGCCGTGGAGATGCTGCTGCCAGAGCCGCGGGGCTTGCTTGATCCCGTATAGGGATTTTGTCAGTTGGCATACTTTCGCGGGGTCGTCGATGAATCCGTGGGGTTGTTCGACGAAAATCTCGGCGTCCACAGGTGCGTATAGGAACGCATTCGCGACGTCGATTTGGCGTAGTGGTAATGTCTTCGTGGCCGCGACGGCGAGTAGGATGCGTAATGAGGTGTGACGGGAGACTGGAGCGAAGGTTTCTGTGTAGTCGGTCCCGTATCGTTGATCGAAGCCTCGTACGACCCATCGAGCTTTGAATCGTTCGATGGAGCCGTCTGAGTTGGTCTTAATGCGGTACACCCATTTCCCCGAGAGGACGTTTTTTCCGTTGATGCTTGTTGCAGGTACCAGTTTCCATGTTTTCCGGTCTTGCAGAGCCTTTAACTCCTTTTCCATCGCTTCCTTCCATTTCGCCTTATATTCCCCCCCCAGAGCCTGCGACAAGGTCGAAGGCTCTCGCGGAGAAGGCGGCGGCGGATTCTGGACGGAGACCCAGAGGCCTAGAATCTGCAGTCCCGTGGGTGTGTGTCGAGGGGAATTTTCATTCCCGGAATAAGCTGCTTCGTCACCGTCTTCTGGGTCAGGTAAGAAGTTGGGACCGATGCGTTCTGAAACATTTGTGTCGACTGGGTGGGGTGTAATATAACCTTGGTCAGCGAAGTGGTAAAAGGTGTCGAGGTTGTTGCTATCGAGAGGATTGTCTTCGTCGAGTGGAATAGGTACGGAACAGAATGGGAGTGGTCCGGCAGCTTCCGAGGCTTCAGGTACGTTTTCTTCTGCCGCGTCAGCTTCGGCAGCACGGTCGGCGAAGGAACGAAGTCCGAAGAAACCGACGGTGGTGTCTTGTGTGTTGGCAATGTTGTCCAGGTAATGCTGCAGCGTCAGTCGCTCGTAGAAGATAACATCACGTGATGCCACGGTATTTTTGTCTTGTATGTCGAGAATTTTCCACGCGTGAAAATGTTTGGCGATGCCGAGGTGTAGTCCCCACCGAGCTCGTTGTGTGAAGCGTCCTGCTCGGGCTGTGTGGGGTCTGTACTGTACCATGCAGCCGAAAACTCGGAGTAATTTTGTGCTGCCCCTTTTTCTTGTCCACAACAGGTGCGGTGATGCGTTGTTGGGAAGCGATGACGAGGACAGCAGGTTGTGCAGGTGAACTGCATGTGTCATCGCGTCTGGCCACAGTGTGGTGGGCAGCCTCATCCCCAGAAGCAGTTTTCGCATCGTCGTCTGCAAGGTCCGGTTCATGCGTTCTGCGACCCCCTGCTGCTGGTGAGCATAGGGCAGAGACACCAGGCGTCTGATTCCTCTTTCCGCCAGATAGGTCCTGAAGCGTTGTGACTGGTATTCCAGTGCACCGTCTGACTGGAAGCTCTTGAGCTTGGTTCCTGATTCTCGTTCGGCGATGGGAAGCCATGTTGTGAAGGCTTCGAAAGCTTGATCGCGCGTCTTGAGATTGAAGTGCCAGACGTATCTGGTTGCTGCGTCGATGAATGTGATGACGTAGTTGAAGTCGGCTTCGGTGTCTTCTCGAGGCATGT